AGAAGTTGGACTTCAGTCACTTTTTACTGTCAAAACGCAGCTCCAAGGAAAGCCCGACGCACATCCATCGCAGGTCCAATGTATGTACCAGTGATTGACTGACAGAAAAGGTGGTAATTATTATTATTATTAGTTATCCTTTGTAGTTGGAATACTTATTTTTGTAGTGTTTTGGTATGTTCTTTACATAGTTTTGTTTATGTTTGTTTGAATTTATGTAATCAATATACATTAACTGACTACTGGTTAACAGCCAATAGCAACAAAGAAACTGGTTTGAGATTTTGGTTTCACTCAGCAACACAAATTATCCTGAATAAAAAATAATAATAATACATCAAACTTATATAGCGCGTGTTTAGGACACTTAGATGCTTTCATGCACTCTCACATTCACACACTGCTAGTGATGGTAAGCTACTTGTAGCCACAGCCGCCCTGGGGCGGTCTGACAGAGGCGAGGCTGCCATTTGGTGCCGTCGGCCCCTCTGACCATCACCAGCACAGGCAAGTTGGGTGAAGTGTCTTGCCCAAGGACACAAGAGTAGAATACCCCTGGTGGGAGCTGGAATCAAGTCCATGACCCACCGATCATGAGGCAACCCGCTCTACCACCTGAGCTACTGCTGCCCCATGAATAACCCCTAATGAATAACAGTCATTAAGGCAACATTAAGATATATTTTTTGTTCTACCAGCTCAAATCAATAAATTATTCCCTTGAAAAATCTCTGGAATTGTATGTTTTAGTTATAATTTAGTTACATCTCGTGTTTATGAGACCCAACCCAGTGCCAGGATTCATCCACTTTTTTATTTTAAAGCTGACAGACTAGAAGAGAGTGGGTTACGGATGAGTTTAATCTGTGCTTCTGCCTCTCTGCCGAGAAAATGTCACTGATTTCCATTTTCACTCGGAGTGTAAGTTTGATTCTCACGCCAAACTCCTAACAAGTGTTAGGATTCTGATTTGACGATTGCAGAAACCTTTTTCTTTACTGTCCACATACCATATTAGTTGTTTGCTTCTGTGATTTATGATGAACCACAAAAGAAAAGGAAGCACATTTTTAGTAGCTTTCTTTAAAATAATTTATTTATTTTACCAATTTTACATTGTCCTAAAATAAACAGTATTTCAAAGCCTTGTTTTTGCATTTAAAACAAAAAGATGCATGTCCTCGTATTTCATGCACAAACAATGTAGGACATATTTGTTGCTAAATGTCCTGTTCGATAAAAATTGTGTTATCATTGCGAATGCACAGAACCGAGTCTGTTGTGTCTGCCTCTCACTCCTGTTTTTTCTTCTTGCAGCTATGACGCACGTTTAATCATTGCTGCACACTCCCATATTTTATCATCTTCACACTCTAAACTCATGGTCCTTAACCCTGAACTGCATATCATTTGCATTTATTAGTACTTTGAGGGACCTCTGCAGAATTGCCTTCTGTTGTCAAACAGTGTAAAGCCATAAAAACATAAATAAGTTTATGAAAAAGTAATCTGACAACAAATAACTGCAACATTGTTCAGTTTAGCCACTAAAACCTCATAAACGTCTCATTTTTTTAAAAGTAAATTATACATATAGGGCTTTGAGAGTAGTTAGCCATTAATTTGCATGGGTAAGTCAGTCTCAAAATCCATTCTGCTGTATTTTAAAGTTGTCCCACCTGCTTGCTTAGAGTACTTGCATTGAAATTGTGTTTATTTAGGACGGCAAAGGAACTGAAACATGTTTTATTTTAAGACTGAAACGTTAAAAGACTGGGTGATGCAAATTTTGAGACTTTCCTGAAAGCCAGAGCATTATGCCAGCCCATTACTCACCTCCGCCCTTGCAGGTCCTCATCTCCACTGTTAAACTTGACTATAGCCATGTTAAGTCACTGCTATGTGGGTCCTTGGGCAGGCGGGGCTACTCAGCAGGAGGTGGAAATGTGAGTCCTTGTCCTGTAAACCCCATGATGTGTGTGTGTTGTGTTGTGTCTCTGTAGTGGTAGTGATTCGCTTTTTACCGCTTGATGTTTAGTTAAAGAGCAAGTAACCCCCTACAAGAAACTTACGTCACTCCCTCTTCATGTTTGAAAAATGCAACAAATGCCGCTAACAAATACACACACACACAGGCTCACAACGGCATTGTGACATCATAAGGACCAGTTTACATCATAGCATACCTCTTAGCCAATAGCGGTGGCAGATTTAGATTCTAATGCAGTGCAGAGTTTTTACCTGACAACGGCACAACACTGACAGTTTTAGGCAGAAAATTGCAATTTTAACTAAAATGCACTAAAGTGCAAAACTATTAACTACACGTGTCTGCAGCACGATTAGACACACATTTATATAGTTTATCAGAAAAAAAGTTGACTTGGGGGCAACTTGCTCTTTAAGTGACTCATTCATTCACTCAGTTGTGTGGATGGTTGTCGTCTCATTTTCCTTAAAACTGGGTTACATAGTTTAAAATGTTTAAAGTAACATCAAAAATGCTTCATTTGACTATCTGACCCTATTTTATGACATAACGTAGGTAATCTTTCCATTACCCTGCTGGAAAAACCAGCATAGACCAGCATAGCTGGTAATCAGCAAAGACCAGCAAAGACAGCAAGGAAGCCATGCTGGTCTTTGCTGGTTTATAAACCAGCATGGACCAGCAAAGACCAGCAAGGAAGCCATGCTGGTCTTTGCTAGTTTTTCCAGCAGGCTATTCACATTTCCCTTAAGTCCCTCCCCTTTACAGCAAAACCAATCATTTACAAGAGCCTAATGCAATGACCAATGGAGTTACAGATCCACAAGAGTTGCATATCTACAAGAGGGAGCTGTCAGTCAACGGGGCACTACGGGGTGACACACAGTCAGCTTAGCACACCAACCTAGCTTGAATGCTAACTCCACCTGCATTGAATTAATGTCAGTCTATAAACTTCAAGCTCCCTGTAAGAGACGAGGAAGGGGAGCGATAAGGGATTGTTCTTGTGCTTAATGGAGCTGAGTGATTAGCGTAGCGTTCAGCTTTGCACTACATCAGACAATTGTTTTAGCCTGTTGTAGCACTAGCAAGGGTGTGCTAGCATTCCAAATGCCAGATTCCTGCCTGTTTTACATGTTTACCTGCTTCAATACTGCAGATTTGATTAAAATTAGTGATTAGAAGCTCCTGCATAACCCCATGAAGGCTGAGAAGATAATTAGGCAGTTTGAACCAAGTTTCTGAGCAGGAACATATCAAAAACATTACTCCATTACTTCTAGAAAGCTATCTGTGTGTGTGTGTGTGCCTTATGAGGCGTCCTCCAGAAGAGGAGGAGGATCAGGGGTGAGATCTATAGTCATTCCAATTTCAAAATCCTCTCTTCCTCTTCTTGACGACATCACACTATGGACCCCAGCTTTAAACATCATGTCTTACTCCAGTAGTGAATATTTCAGCAAGTTTTGATGATAAAAATTTGCAACTATCCTCTTCCAATAGCTGATGAAAGAAAGGGTTGTGTTTTTGTAGAAGTGCAGATTCTTTTGTGGTAATTGGACAACTTGGTGCCCCATGGTGGGAGGAAACGTAAAAAGGGGTTCTGTTTTTGTGGATCAAAATTATTTATGTTTTTCCTCTTAAATGTTCATCAAGATTCCTTTGAATTCCACTGTTTTCCATTTAACTAAAATATTTGTCAATGTTTTTAATGGATATAAAGCAACAATATCCAATTATATATTTTGGATGCAAAACATCTTTTTTCCACCCCGCATGAAGCAATTTTACTTAATTATATCCATCTGAAGGCAGTAAGTATTTTGTGTGTTTCATCTGCACTTCCTGATTTAAGTGTTTCTCATTGCCCACGCACCATTACACAAGCCTAATGACAACAAAAGAATTAAAAGCTGTCTCTTGAATTTTTTTCACCCCATTTTTCTATTCATTTAAATCAGTTTTGAATGTGAAATTAGCAGGTTACCTTGGTAACAGCTGTGTTAACATCTCATTAAAAAAAAGACCTACCTGCTCCGCCTTTGGCAAAGAAAAGACGGAACAGATGAAACCACTGTTACATTTAATCAGTGTGAAAGACATTTACAAAGGCGAAGTGACAAATTATTGAGTACTTCCTGGTTTTGCAGATGCTGTTGTGTGAAGTGACATTCTTAGACATGCACTATAAAAAAGTGAGGACGGCGTCTGTCAGAATTACTGTGATATACATATTGGTGAATATAAAACATAAACTTCTTTTCTTTTGGCTTGGTTCTGTTCCCAATATGTATTTTTTACATGAATCACAATCTTCAAATATCACTTTCTTTGACCCGGGACCCCTTCTAGGTGGATATAAAGAACAGATCATAGTTACTGTATGACTTATGATAAACCGGCGACCTCCAGCATGTCCCAGTTATTCATTTCAGGATGTCGCTCCTTGTTCATCGTACCGTGTCCAAAGCTTTATAACTGCACTCTGTTTGCTGTCTCATCGGTTCACTCCTTGCACATTTCTTTGTGGGTTCCTCCTTAGACCTCCCTGCTGTGTCATTTATTTCCATATCCTTGCTCTCTCTATGCCTGTGACTACTTTCAAACGTGTCTTTTATTATGTCCATTTTGCTAGCTTGCTCTTCACGTTGATACGGTGTAGCTCCCAAATATGGTGAATGTGCCAAAGCAAATCTTTAGAGAAATTCAGCAGTCACAGCGAACGGCTTTCAGATTCCTTCAAAAGGGAACACAAAGAGCGTAATGTAATAGTTGGTGTTCTGATATCGGCATGCCCTTAGAAACTCATGGTTGAAAATAAAAAAAGAAAGGGCTGGTTTGTTTTTTTCCCATTCTCAGCTAATCCCATCTAATTTCTTCACACAGAAAGGGGGTTCCAGATATAGTGCAGACCTGATTTACTGCAGTACTAATGTATGACCGAAGCTAAGGAAAAAATAGGTTCCCAATGAGCTCTGACCTCATCATTTCCTGACTTTTCTTCTTCCAGGTGCAAATACAGAACAAGAAGATAGACTTGAGCCATGTGACCTCCAAGTGCGGTTCTCTGGACAACATCCATCATCGGCCAGGTATGAAACTCTCTGCAATGAGGTTATTATTTGAGGCGGCATTGATGAAAAACAAACCCAGTTGTAACAAAGAAGTGTTGAAGGTGACATTTAAAAAAAAATATGAAAAAATCCTTTGCAAAACATCAGCTAATTCTGTTTTTCCTCATAGTTTAAGCTTTAATGTTGTAAATGGAGTGAGCTGTAGGTAAATCTACAGCAGTTTCAATCAAAACACTACAGAAAAGAGGAATATGACATGTATATAAGAGAATTTAAACTAATAGATAAGATTGCTAATTACAGTTTCAGCTCTAAATCGAGGCACATTCCATGAAATGTATTCTTACTTGCATGCTTTCCTCCAAAAAAACAAACAACAAAATACATTTTGTTAGGAACACAAAATATTTTCTTTTTAGACTTCATAGAAAGAATACAACAGAAATAATTTAGGAAGCATATTTCCTAAAGTCGTTTATGAACTTAGCTAAACACTTTTATTTACATATCAAATAGGAATGGAATTAAAGGTTTTGGTGTTTAGATGCTAAAACAATTGTATATTTGGGGGTTTTGGGTAAGTAAGAATCACGTTTTAAAGGTGTGGAACACTGAAAACCCATTTTTAAGATAAAAAAACATTTTTGATAATTACTTTTTATTATAATCAGCCACTCTGAGGTTTTCATGCAGGCTGAACATGAAAACAGTCTCCTAGACCAGTGGTTCCCAACCTGGGGGTCCCGACCCCCACAAGGGGGCGCCAAAGCCTCTCAGTGGGTCGCCAGGACCTCTCCACTTTAAGGGGTTAAAACTTCATTTATTACTTGTTTATAGCCTACATTTTGCTCACATTTTTTTTCATGAGTGAAAAGTTTACTGATATTAAGACAGGAAATAATTAGTACAGAAAAAGTAACACACTTAAGAACATTTTGCTCAGCTCACTGTTTTATTTTCAAGTGTCAAAAGTTCATTAAAGATAGGACTGGTTGATTAATCACAGCGTTTACAGTAAATAATCTAGTATAAACAGTAATATACACATTTAAGTACATTTTGCTCAGTGTATTTTTTATGTGTCAAATGTTTATTGAAAGGATTGATTGATTTATCAGTGTTTACAAGAAACAATGTGTTCAGAAAAGTAACACAAACTGTCAAGCACATTATGCTCTGTTTGGTTTTGTTAATGACTTTGTTCTGTACTGGAGCCTACTATTACTGTTATCTATTGAATCAAAGCATATTAAAATGTGCTTGAACAATTTTATCATTTCTTAATAATGTTTGTACTGGAAGAGAGAATGGGAGGGGGTCATCAAAAATTTTACTGGTAAAAAACGGGGTCCCTTGGGAAAAAGATTGGGAACCACTGCCCTAGACCTATCTCCTGCATTAGCTTCTGATAGAAAATAGAAGGTGAAACTCTATTACTTGAAAATCACGACAGATCTACGCCATCCATCTTGACTTATAACAGGGTCTCACCACACGGCAGAAGCTTCTCCAGTCTTGTGTGATTTTTGGAGATAAAACACACAAGTTGCAAATCAGTGGCAGAGTCACATTCCTGTTAACAAATCCGAGGCGAGATCTCCAAATATCAGGAAATAAGACTCCAAACCCTGCCGTCTGAAGCTCAGCTTCGATGTGGGTAACTGCTATTACTGCTAGTAATCCACACCTTTAAGAATACCGTATTGACCCGAATATAAGACGAGTTTTTTTTTTCATTAAAAATAGTTTTAAAATGTGGGGTCGTCTTATAATCGGGGTCTAACCATTACATGCCCGTAATAGCAGAGGGTGCGGGGTTGAATGTTCTCAACAGGAGAAGAAAATGGAGACGAGAAGTCCGGAGCAGAGTGGACCGAAAGTGGGGCAAGTTAACAAGCTATAAGGCAGAGTTATGCGAATTATAAGATGGCGATGGTCAATCCAGCAGAGGCGTCAAACATTGTATGCATGGATGCCTTGGATGGCAGTGAGGATGACGTTCAGGCAGGAGTCGGCAGGTGTAGCGATCTGATGGTACACCGGAATCGCAGCAGCGTGAGAGTGAGTGAGTGAGTACAGTGAGGCAGAGGGCATCTAAATAAAAGTTTCATTAGACTTTAGATTTCACATGTCAGCATAGTTCTGATAGTTTGCATTAAAATGGTATTTTTGCTCAGTATCTGTTCTCAAATTTTCAATAAAAATAGTTTATTTAAAAGAGATTATTTTTGTCCTTTTCTAAAGATTAGTCTTGGAAAGGGGGGGTCGTCTTATAATCAGGGTCGTCCTATATTCTGGTCAGTACGGTAATCTTTTTCTTCTTTCTTTTGTTTATCTTTTTTTCTTCTTCTTCTTCTTTTTGTTTTTGTTTTTCTTCAACTTTTGTTTTTCTTCTTCTTGTTCTTCTTCTTGTTCTTGTTCTTGTTCTTCTTCTTGTTCTTGTTCTTGTTGTTGTTGTTGTTCTTCTTCTTCTTGTTCTTGTTCTTCTTGTTGTTCTTGTTCTTGTTCTTCTTCTTCTTGTTGTTCTTGTTCTTGTTCTTGTTCTTGTTCTTCTTGTTCTTGTTGTTGTTGTTCTTCTTCTTGTTCTTGTTCTTCTTCTTCTTGTTGTTGTTCTTGTTCTTCTTGTTCTTCTTCTTCTTGTTCTTCTTCTTCTTGTTCTTCTTGTTCTTCTTCTTCTTCTTCTTCTTCTTCTTCTTCTTCTTCTTCTCAGGCAATAAAGTCTACATTATTTGATTCATTTAAGGGATAAAGAATTCCCAGAAGTTCCAATATTCCATTTGTACATTTTTTTTACTAGTTTGGAACTAAATAATCCTTTTCAACATAACAAAACAAGTTATTTTGTTTATAGTTTCATGAGAATCAGAAATAACCAGTCAATCACGTTGGGATTTCACACTCTTGAGCATCCCGTAGAGCTGAAAGAAAAACAGTAGAGCTGAGCCGTGAACTGACAGCTCGACGGACATGTCCACAGGTGGCTGGCTGTAGGAGGTGTTTTTCAGTCCTTGGCAGCAGTGCTGAAGTTTGTGTATTTGTACAGTGAGCGTGTAAATCCTCAAGGATGTTGAAAATTGATTGAAAACTAAATTGTATAAAACTAGAAATGTGAAATAAATTGCATCTACAGTTTGGCCCGGTGACGTACATCCCAGTTGGAGGGGACAAAAAACAGACCCTACATTTAAAGACTAAACGGGCAATGTTTATAGGAATGTTTCACCATTCTGACCATCTATTCTATACATTTGCTAATATTTGTTGGGCTTTTCCGAGATGAAGTCATTATTGTCATAAAAACTGATTTATAACAATATTAAAAGATAGGTGGTATGAATTTTTAGCGGTTTGTTTTGAGATGTGGAGTTAAATCATTTTTGTCAACCCCATGGCATTACGACTACTTCTCTAGCTCCACCTGCTGGTGTTTTTGTATATCACTGCAGAGGGCTTTGTGGGATCGGAGATTCCTTTTGACATGTGTTCCAGCTTTCTTAGCTTAAAAGACCCAACTGTGGTCCAGTTGATTTCTGCTACTTGCAAAATCTGGAGTTTCCTTTTATTCCTTGAGACAGTTCTTTTTTTAATCAGATTTTCTTCCCCAAAGATTTGTCAAACTTCTGTTTGTGAAAGCTCTGGTTTTATTCTGCTCTGCACTCCGGCAGGAGGTGGTTATGTACGAATAGAGAGCGTAAAGCTGGGCTTCAAAGACAAAGCACAAGCCAAGGTGGGTTCACTGGATAATGCTCATCACATTCCTCGTGGAGGTCAACTCATGGTGAGTGTCAACTACATACTCATAACCATCATTTAGAGGAGAGCATCAGGTGTTTCAAGGGCTACCCAAAGTTTCAACGATGCAAAAAAAAGGTTGCTGAGAAACACTTTCTGCGCTGATTACTCCCTAGCCTAGAAATCTAGACCAACCACACCAGCAGCAAAAGGTTGAACTTCAACCCCTTTTTCACACTGGAAACACCAGCGACGCAGAACGCTTCAAATACAGTCCAGCCTATGGAGTGTTTCAAACCAGCAGCGATGGGATTTTTCAAGTGCATCCCACACCGCACCGCTAAAGCTAGGATCAGGTTCTAGTTTTGTCATGAGCCACATCTGGGACATGTCCGTTTCCACAGCTAACACAGGGCTAGACAGGAAATCTTATGTTGTTTCAGTGTAAAATCCCAGGTAATTTTCAAAATAAAAGTATTGCAACGATGTAGCTTTCTTCATATGTAGCTTATGTGGGACCTAATTGTTTATTTACTCCCTGCATCATTCGAAAAGTACAATGGTGTGTTTTCATGGCTTTAATCCTGGCGGTGGAGAGGAATAACATCATTTATGGCATTAAATAACAATTTCAAATGTGATTTCCTTATTTTTGGTTTAATGGTGAATTGCAGAAAAAACAGTGACATTTGAAGTCTCGGGGGATCTTGTGATCTCGGGAGTCAAGCGAGGAAGCCATTCTTTGGCCAAGGCTCTCCCGCTGTGTACCGGACCGCATTGAAGCTCATGACTAAAGCATTTCCGCTGCCGTTCTGCGCCGCTGAGTCTTTCAGTGTGAAATGGGGGTAAAGGTTGTTTTAGCCACGCTCCGTTGAAGCCTCAGCAGGTCCACCTTTGGCCCAAACTATTTTAGGTTGGGCAAATCACAGCGTTCTACATTTGTAGAAAGATGTTGGGCGGACTAGCTGAAACAGCTTTGGCGTCAATTTTGGAAGATTTAGACTTGAGCTTTTCTTTGAGGCATGAGCAGATAGAGGCACTTGAGTCATTTATTTCGAAAAAAGATATGTATGCTTCTTCTTCAACGGTGTATGGCGGATTGTCCCGTTGACTGATTATCGTTGTTTGTTGCTCTGATTGGCCTAGTGCTGTCCAACTGCATTGAAAGACAGTTTCAAAGACAACTATACATTCCAACGCAAAATCCTTTTCCCTCTTTTACTGGGTTTAAATTCAGTGAAGAGGCAGTTATTATTTTACAACGTGATGTTACCCTGATTACAAAAGCAGAAAAGCCTTTTTTTCTAGATTTGCCTCATCCTCATTGATTCTTGCATCATACTACCTGCCTTTAATAGATCGAGAGCCACAGGTTGACATTTCGGGAGCAAGCCAAGGCCCGGGTGGACCACGGAGCAGACATCATTATCCAGTCTCCGGGTTTGTCCGGCTCGGAGTCTCCTCACCACCTCCGGGAAAGCCACCTATCATCCTCTGGCAGTCTCAACACGACGGAATCCCCGCAGTTAGCAACCTTGGCGGAGGATGTCACTGCGGCCCTCGCCAAGCAGGACTTGTGAACACTGGATCTCTGCATCCCAGACGTCCTCATTGCCATCTGTCCAAACTTTTTTACCCCAACCTGCCATTATGAGGCAGAATGGTCACTACTGCTGAGTTGAACCACGGCCTTGAAACACCTTTACTCCAAGAACAACCCCCAAACTCTTACATAGAGACTAGAGTTAGAAGTTACTGTATTTTTGGTCCTCTTTATCCTGTTTGCTGTCTATTTTCAACCCTAAACATGTGCTTTTTAGATTACTTTTGTGGATATTTCTTTAAAAAAAAAAGTTACATATAGTAGACTGAGTGCTGGTTTTAGTTATAAACAAGCTATCCACAAATAGGTGCAGATCAAACATTGACTCTGCCGCTCTTAGGTCAGTGTTAGGTCAGTTAGTCATTTATTTTCTACTTTAAACAACAAAAGAACCCATGAGTACACCAAGCCGCACCTTTTATTTATACTCCGTAAATGTGCATGGTTGCCAGATCCCCTAACACAACAAGCATCCATACTGCAAGTCATTATCGTCATTTGATATATTTAACAAAAATATACAGAAATATACAGAGATGTGTATAAAAAAACACACGTTCACTGTCACCAGGGGCGGACTGGAGAATCACAGATTCACAGAACGGCCGGTACTCCAGGACGGCCGGTGGGCCGGCCCACCACTCTCCATGCACGCTTTCAACCCAAAGCTCTTTCACGCTCCAGCACTCTAGGTGGCAGCACTGCACCTCTAAGTTGGATGCCAGCTACATTGGCTGCGGCCACCAGACAAGGAGAAGAAGCTGAAGCAGAGAGGAGAGGAGACAAAGGCAGTGGATAAAAAACGATTCAAAACCCGGCCGCTAGTAAAAAAAGAAAAGAAAAGGGTGGGACTGAGAAGGCAAGATAAAAAAAATTGCGAGCATTAGATGCTGAAGCCTCTAAATGTCACAAATTGACATATTTAGCAGCACAGCCAGCAGCAGCACCTCGCAGCAGGTTCACAGCAGTGAAGAAGTCGGGCAGATAGCGACACAGCAACATGCCAGCAGTAATGAGGGACAGAAAGAAGCGGTGCTTCCACAGGCAGATCTAGGGGAAGTAAGTATGGAATGTAAGAGGAGAAACCTTTGCGAGGATCGATGTTAGGAATTCATGTTTAGGTTGCAATTTTATTTTATGATAACAGCTAAATTTCAACATTTTAGCTGTAAAAGGCCACATGCAGTGGGTAATAAGAAATATGTTGTGGTTTTACGTAAAAAGGTTGGTAGTAGTATTACATTTAATGCTCACAAACTTTGAAAATCTTAACTACAGAAGTTACATTTGTAATGCTGCATTTGCATTTAGATGTGGTATTATTTGTGCAGTAAGAAGATCAATTACTGCATAAATTATTAAGCTTATCAGTAATACATCTTTTAATACAACATTTAGTCAACAGTAGCGCTGATGCTATAATTTTGATGCTTTGACCACATATTTTTGCTGCCGAATTTCCACGCGCCAATTACTTTGGGCCGGGCCAGGTCAAAGTCCAGGGCTGTTTTTAGTTCCAGTCCGTCCCTGACTGTCACCATCCAGTCCCCAACCCATTTTAAAAGAAATGACAATAATGGCTATAAAATATAACTAAAACAGCATTTATGCAAGAACGACGTCATATACCGACAAGCATGTTTAGATTCAACTATTAAAAAGAGGTTCTTTTGTATTTAAACAAACTGATTTTAGTAATTTATTTCCTCATTTACTGGATAAAGATGAACAAGTTCATGTTTTGTAGTTAATAGTTGTTTACAGTGTAATGCTTGGTGACAATGTTCGAGACTAATTTTGGTGTTGAATGCATCTCAGTCCCGTCGAAGAGCCTTACTCATGTGAGCCTGCTCAGCTGTTCTATATAAAAGCCTGTTTCCATGTCAGAAAAACGCAAAATTCTGGAGCTCATTCCACAAACTCCCATCCTACAAGGAAACCTTTAAGGGGAACTCGTTGCTAAATGAATGAAGACAGACGTTGATCCATGAGGGGTGGCTAACGTTGCATTCATCGAGGTCGATGCCCGAGCCGCAGAGGAAGATGCCACACCTTGGTACCTGGTATTTAGCAGAAGATGACTCCACAATCTGTGTGTGTATGAATGTGTGTGTGCATTTGGTACAGAGTTGTTTTAGGAGGGTGCTACTGTGTCTGGATGTTTGTTGCAATGTTTAGGATGAAGCAATTCTAAAATATACTTTTAAAAAAGCCTTAAAAAATTCAAAACGACACTTGATGAAGACTCCTGTTGTATCTGTTAGGAAGACGTGTTTGGGTGATCTAGTTTCTTTTTCAGACAATACCTGTCCCCAACTGCAACAATTTGTTTGCTTCTGTGTTTTTTCTGCATTCGCCCCTCCTCTGATCTATGTGTGCCTCTCTCCCACTTCCTGCTTCACTCTCGCAAATCTTATCGTATTTAAAAGGTCAAGTAGATGTATGCAGTTTTTTCTCCTGTTGATATGACACCAGTTACAATAATTACTGACAATAAAAACAACAAAAAAGTGACACCGGATTGATTTTTGTTTTCTTGTCGTGTGGCCAGGCAAAACAAACTGGATGCATACTTGTGGTGTAGACCAGCGCCTTTGAGATGCAGAGTTCGGACACTCCCATAGGCTTCGGTAGAAGGAATGAAATGCAGAAGTAACGTCGGCCGTGGAGCTCCCAATAGTTCCATCACTGAATGCTGTTCATACTCTGTGTGTCGGAGGTTGTTTTTTTCCTCCAGTAAGTTGATGAAATTACATCATTTTGGCATGCTGAAGCATGACTGCCTTGAACCAAAATAAGTCAATAGTGATTTTTCATGCAGCCAGTTTTAGTTGGAGGTTTCTTCCTCGTAATTAATACTTGTTTCTTATTTATTTATGAATGGGAGGTTTGCCAAATTAAAGAAATCTAATATTTAAGGTGATGAATGTTAAGCATAAAACTGGTTTACAAATACAGAGAGGTGTGGAACACTGAGAAACCATTTTTTAATGATTACTTTTTATTATAAATGGTCACTCTGAGATTTTCATGCAGGCTGAACATGAAAATGGTCTCCTACACCAATCTCCTGCATTAACTTCTGATAGAAAATTAACAGTGATTTGAAACGCCTGACAGGTCACACCGTCACTTAACATTCATGGACTCACCCATCTTGAATCATGAAAGGGAAGGCTGTTGTTGGTTTAGCATCCAGGAAATGGCAAAGGATGTCTCAACTAGTAGAAGCTAACCATTAGCATTAGCAACTCTACAACACAGCAGAACTCCTCCAGGCTTGTGTTATTAGTGGAGATAAAACATTGCAGAGCAAATCGAGTCAGTGGTAGAGTCTTGTTGCTGTTAGCCAATCAGAGGTGAGATGTCCAAATATCGGGTTATATGAAGCTCAGCTGTGACGTGGCTCACTTTAGGTGTTTCTCAATGTCAAGGCACCTTGCTTACGAAGACACTGTCCTTCCTTGGTCAAAGACATCGCTTAAATGGAACAGACTTGCATCACGAGACCACGGCAGGCACGTAAAGTCACATGATATGGGAGGTAAAGTTATAAGTATAAGTTTCAATATAAATATATAATTTACTTTTTTAATCGTGTATACATTAGATTGGTTAAATTAAAAATGTAAGCAAGTTACTACCTGCTTGCCACCGAAACTGCAACATAAGCAACTAACCAACCATAGATAACTGCTTTGGATATGAAAGAACATTTTAGATTTCAGCCCAATAGCTACAATTGGTCGACTTCCATGACAAACGTAAAATTTGCCCCCAGAAGTAGCTGCTGGCTCCTGATCAACCATCCTTTCAAAAATATTGCGATGTATTCTGAGAACTTTTTTGACCAAGTCCAGGCTACAAGGCACCTCCCGCGTATCGTTGCTAAGCTAAATAAATAGCTAATTAACAGAGAACAGACGCCTAGGTAGAACATTAACATTGAAACACTCCTTGGCGGTTCCTGATGACATATCTCCTAGGCAACCGGGGCAGGACCAAGGCATCAAGGCAAGATTTCTTGGCATTGAGAAACACCCTTAGTTCCTGAAAATGGTACACTGGTGTTTTTTTTCCTCAGAGTAAAACTTACAAGGTATTCATTCCTACTAGAGACCACTGCAAAAGCATTGATTAAACAAGTGTTTCACACCTTTAATTCATTTAGTGAGTCAGTGGGTAGTATGTGTCAAACCTCCACAAATTTCTGCTTCAACTTTACTCTGTAAGTTGAAAAGACCCCCAAACCCCCTACGAGTGTTTTTATATTTTACTTGAAATAGTTACAATAGAAAACCTTATTTAATTATTTTATTTAGTTTGGAATAGAAGTGCTGTTTTAAAGGGGCATTATGGAAGTTTGACAGCCAAAACATGTATAGAAATAATAAATTTCTTCTTCATACATTCTCCTGCAATGCCCTGGTCCTGTAGAATGAGCCCTGGCATTTTTACTGTGATCGCCTGTTTTTCTGTAAAATCACAGAAAAAGAGAGATGCTCGGGTCGAGCAGGCTGCTTCATGCGCGTTCACGCTCAGGCATAGCCCGTAGCATTTGCTATCCGTAGCTTTAGCAGCAGAGAGTGAGGCAGTGCCAACTCAGCGACTTTGTCACTGTTCCTAAAGCCTAGTGATGAACCTAGCTACATTTCTGAGGACCCTTAGCGACTTTCTTCTAGATATTTCCTGCAAATTAGCAACAAAATAGCCATTATCGCTCCTAACCGTTCTTTGAACGTTGTTTCAGCTGTCATCAGGAATATAAATGTTAAAGATACAAAAGATATCACTGGTGCTATAGCTCATCCAGTAAGATGGTGGACTCCTGTGTGGAAGACCTGGGTTCGATTCTGGATGTGAACATAATGTACAGTATTTAGAGTTTCTTTTTTACATGAATGGTATATTTTTTTACAGTAAGATACCCAAATTTTTATTTGAGACTCGCCGGATGGCATTGAAGTCACAGATAAAAAAGATGTGGGTTCAACTTTCATTTTGGAACAATTTTTCAAGCAAGGGAAGGGAATGATCTGAGCATGCAGGAGGACTGACCCATCATAAACCTTTGTCAGCTGTGCTGAAGAGAAAGGTACAGAACCAAATTATTTAATTAATTAGCTGCGCGTTCTCCTGTCCTCCTCCTCCTCCCCCCCCCCCCCCCCACACACACACACACACGCACAGGACTGTCTCAGCTGTTATTTTCATTAAGGAGTATGCACGTACAGCATGCGCGCCTCGTGCACGAGCCTACTATTGAAGCTGCCGTTACGCTTTTGGCCTGAGGGGGCAATCGCGAGCATAAAAATTCAAAACTCCGTAAAGTCCCTTTAAAATAGCCATTTCCAAAAACAACTGTTAACCGTCCTCTAAGAATGACAATAAAACTAAGATTTGAACCAACAGCGTAGCCAGGTCAATAATATATCACTATAGTTGTATTGAACTTATTAGGGATGTTCGATATCCACTTTTCAACCAATATCCGAGATACCTATATAGTCTAACTCTTGATTTCTGATATCATTCATACATATTTTTCCTTTACTACAATATCTCTTGAAGGAACCTAGAGGCTAACATTGTGCTTACAATGCTAATGGTGAATTAGAAGCAACTTGTCGGCTCTAAAAAAAATCTCAAGCTACTTTTTCACTTACCGGCAAGTTGATATTACAGTGAAATATATTTATCCACTTATCAACTTGCTGTGTAGGACTCGTCTTTGCTCGTCATCTGTCGGCTGATGCTGATTCTTATCTGGCAACGGCTGTGATACTCATGGAACTTTTGTGTGAGAAAGTCACTTGTGAGTTTATAAAAGGGCCTGCAGTACCCAAATTAGATCACATGATGTAATCCTTACTTCATTCTTACATAATGCATCTTTAAGCGTAAAAGTCGACTTAAAAAAAGATGTCTCTAAATGTTTGTGGGGCAAAATCTATTTCCTAATTATTTAGTAGGGATGTAAGAAAATATCAATAAGCCAATATATCATGATATTTTTTCCAGCAATATAAAGATATTCAAAAGCTGTATCGAAAATATCGATATTGCAATATATCGTGATACATTTTCCAGCATTATTATATCAAAAGCTGTGTACCTAATTATTGGAAAAATTTCTATACAAACATTTGTGTATTTTCTTCTCTTTCTGTGCTATTGAAACGCCGACCACTAGTGGGCAGCAGTGTGCCATGAATTGTTTCCAACACTGAAACGTAAATCCCTCTAACATGAGGTATCTGAACCATAATAAACACTTTTTTAAGTATCAGTTTGGACTGTTTATTGAAGTTTCCTACAATAAATTCAGTCTAAAAAGATCGCTAATAATGTTGGACTGAATGTATCACAATATATCGTGACATATTGTATCGTCTCCCCTTTATCGTGATACGTATTGTATCATCACAATTTTACCAATACAGATCCCTATTCTTTGGTATAAAACAGAGTCAGAAATTGCTGAGTAAAATGGGAGTGTGAAAAATTTATTGTGAAATGGCAGCGGATACATCTTAAGACTCAGGGATGGGTCGGGCGAAGGGTGGATTCATTTTGATGGCCAGTCCTGGGCCAAACCAGTCACCTGACTGGCAGCCAACCAGACAACAAGCGAGGGGGGAGCGCTCATCATTATTCCACCACCCCCCTCTATCACTGTTCCTCTGTAATAACAAAAACCCCAATGAGACCACGGTACTTGGATGAAAATGAGGGCGGAAGCACCTCTTGGGAAATAGTTATTGCTTTCCGAGTAGCAGGAGGAGCAAGAGAGAAAGGAAAAAAAGAAAAAAAAAACAAAGCACCATTTAGACAAAAGAGGAAAAAATGTGTAGGACAAAAGAAAATAGGGTTCAGGAAATGACATCTCTTAGTCCTTTGTTCCTCCTGCTTCCACAGATAATTCAGGAAACAGCGAGTGGATGTCGCGACACCATGGGGTCTGCAGAATTCAACGCTCACTGCTGCAGTGGCACGGTCCTTACACAGACATGATGTGCTTGACAAAGGCTGCAGGTGGAGACCAGGACAGCAGGAAAGAACAGCAAAGAGGAAAATGAGTTTTGGAATCGAGAATGAAAAAGATATCAATATGTCTTAAACCTGCACTCTATTTCGTGGCCAGCAGAAGGCGAGTAATGTGGCAAAATTCATAGGACTAAATTCCCTCTGCTGATTTTTTTAGCTGATTTACAACTTTAGTGCAACATATTGTTAGATTCTCAACTTTAACTCAATTCAACTGTAATAAAAACACTCGAGGCTGCCTTAAATAGTCTTTGCGGATGCTCCCCAAATTCAAAATCTCAAGACTAATGTGAAAAGCTTCAATATTATAAACTCAAAGTGTCGCACTTTCATCAGCTAATTAATCCAAAACCTGAGCCTTTAGAGGGTCTCTCAGTCTATGTTGAATTACTGAAAAAACTTAAACTTTTGCATCATTTTCAAATTTTCCATGTTTCCTCCTATATCAGTAATATTAAGAGTAATTTGTGGCTCACCCTCATAGTTGATGCAGCCATTCTCATCCTCCTGTCCTACCATGAGAGCTTCGATCTCAGCCTCACTCATCTTCTCTCCTGCAGGAGCAGACAGAGGAGATCCCGTGTTACAAACAAAAAGTGGAAAAGCTGAAATATTCCAGCCAGGTTAGATGCAGCATCAGGACCAACCCAGTGTTGACAGGACAATACGGAGCTCAGCGCCCATCACTGTGCCGTTGCCCTCTTTGTCAAAGACACGCAGACCCTCAACGTAGTCCTCAAACCCAGCTTTGTTCGGGCTGTTGATGATGGTCTGGAGCATTGGCAGGAAGGTCTCAAACTCTATTCTCTTGTTGGCCATGTCTGCATGAACAGACTCGTTAGAAACAGGCATGAGAAAGCAAGGTTAAGCTCAATTCAATGCATATATTAACAATTGTATTCTTTCCTACAGAAGAGGATTAGGCCTAACCGTGCGCTGCAAGATGAATTTGCGTGAGATTTTGAGTTTTCCAAATTCAGGAGAATCCATCTTGTACCACTCTAGTTCAAACCGTCTGACCTCTGGCCCAAAATAGGCCGGTCCAATCATGTGTCAGTACTGTGCTGTAGGGTGGGAGTTAGTTTTGACGGTAGTATCAAGCGCTAAGTAAGACAAACATGGCCGCGCCGGTTGATGCTAACAGCAAACAACAGTCACAACGGCAACGCGGTGTCCACGGCCAAAAATGTTCCAGTCTTAAATTTGTTAAAACATACGGAACAGAAATGTCCCTAAAAATCCATTCAGATATATTTGTACATGTCTACAGTCACATGTGGAATTGTTATTTTGACTACCGGCAAGAAATGTGTAGATTCAATACGGGTCAGGGCTACACGTAGAGATCTGGCTGCTGCCAGGTTAGATTAGGGCCACTGAAAAGACAAAAGCAAAGAAAGATAATTCTGACTTTAATCTCAGAATGTTTACATATTTTATCAGAAGTCCCAAAGTCTGAATTCTGAGATTAAAGTCAGGATCATCTTTTCTTATTTCTTTTCAGTGGCCCTAACCCTCTTCTGTACTTTTTACAAGAAGACTTTGTGATGGTGCATTCAGTTGCATTTTTCATATCTGATAAAGTCACAGCCATGCTGTACCGGCTATATCTGTGTGTTTTGCACATTTAACATTTGTAGGATGTTACATCATCCAGAGCCACACAAAACTAGAAGAAAAGCAGTGCTGCAGCGCCCTCTTCAGGCAAAAAGCTTCAAACCTGCCCCTTTCCTATGCACCTTTGTGTTTTGTGTGCAGCCAGTTCTTTTTACACGTATGTTGCCAACATAATGCCTGACTTACCCTCAGCAGTGGGCATCCCCAGCAGTTTGTTCACCTCCTTGTTGGTGGGATTCTGTCCCAGAGCGCGCATGATGTCGGCGATCTGGTTGTAAGCCACCTTGTTGTCACCCACCCTGTCAAACAGACCGAAGGCCTCTCTGTAGTCTGTTGAAAAAAGGGCAACAAACACTCACTTGAAATTCAATATTATTGTTATTTGCATTTGTGTGTGTCTGGTTTTAAATCAGTACATTTAACATTGTGGTGTGTTCTCCTATTCTCATTTTATGGCTTGAACAATTTGAAAAGGCAGCACGGTGACTGACCCAATCCCAAACTTCTCGCTTTGAGATCAAAACTCATATATTTTTAAATAATTTTGTAACAGTAAAGTGAAAAATAATGCATTTTGTTTACATTTCTGCTAAATCTGCTCATTTTCAGGTTTTATTCTGCGACCATTAGTAGATGATGCACATTTCTGCAGCATCATGGACTTTGCACTACATATTTTCTCTTCACGAGTGAAATGCATGCCTTATCACAATGTTTTTCCATATTTTTAATATGCAGCTGTAGCTGTTGAACGCCTGCCGGCAGGTGGAGGCATGTCCTCTTCTCACTGACAAGGAAAACACGTAAGCACAAGACATCCAAGACGGCTGCGGTATTATTGGCTCAATGGAGTGACTTTTGCCGAGCGCCATCTACCCCTTGCTCTATTTCCGTGTCAGCTGTCTCCTTCCCTCACCGCAGAGCTATGGGTTCTTTTAAAAGACCACCTTGGAATTGATAAACATAGCTGAGAATATGAGCCCCTCCTTTTAAAGGCAAGGCCTTCTGTGGGTGAGCTGGGTAAAAGCGAGGAATGCTGACTGCATGGTAACAAGCAACCAGTCTTACTGCAGGCCTGCCAGTGGGAACCAGCAGGCTGCAGGTGCTTCTTTCTGTCAAATGTTAATTGCTCCATTATTTTTCTCCGTGTACTGGTATAGTTTTTTAATATGCAGCTACTGGCATTTTGTTTTATATGTCAAATGATAAAAGAGCTGGGTGGACTTATTTCTGACATTCTGCAGTGAAATTAAACCTCCTCTGTATTTGTGTGAAATCATGTTCCTTATTATCAATTATTAACGGAATTTTTTTTTGAGTTAAACAAACCCCACAGTAACTATTTCCCTATTTAGCTACTCTAAGATTTCACGAGGCATTTGGTATTCTCAGGGAATGTCAAAACAGAGAACTGACTGAGGTGGACTACCTGTCACGACTCCTTTAACACCTGTTGAGTGTGTTGCAGGTTTGCAGTTGCCCGTTGTTAATTTTTTTATTTCGAAGAGGTTTTGTTGATTTTTGATTGTAGAGTTTTTAATTTTAGGGTTTAACGTGTATAACTATGCAAAAGAAAGCTGAGCCCTGCGATGCAACATCATGTGTTTGCAAAGATGATAAGAAATGGACCTACCGTCAACCTGGTCTGCGCTGAATTCTATCTGCAAACCAACATAAAGCAGCAGTGTGAGTGCAAAGATGACAAAAGTGAGTGTTTAAATCAGACATTTCAGTCACAAAACCAACAAAGCCATGGTCGCTTTGCACAGAATTTACACTTTAAACTGGACTCGTTTGCAACTGAGCTCTGAGGGTCCATCTTTAGCTACATTAACATGTCCACATTTGGAAGCATTGTGTATTGCAATCACACATTAATCACCTCTCAGTAAACCCAATCGCCAAAGGCCTGGGTGTGGCCTAAACCACGGTGAGCTATCCATGGTTCTGCACAGCCTCTCCCAGTCCTCCAAACCCAAATCTGCTCTCCCTACCCCTCCTGTAGCTGTATCCAGAGTTCAACTGAATGTGTTTTATGCTCTTTTAATAAAACAAATGTAAATCTTATATCCTCAGATTGATTTATCATAAAAAATGTAGTAAACGAACAAGGAAATATTGCTTATTTGAGCAGGTCTCCTACAAAAACTTCTCCAAAATGAAGAAACTCCCCACTAAAACTGATTTCCTTAGATCTTCAAACAAAAACAATCCAGTTTAGCGGCCTTCCTTCCCCACATTGTACCTTGACGGCTGACAGGTCGATGGCAGGAGCCTTAGCTGGAGCAGGCGCTGGTTCTGGTGCCGGTGCGGGTGCGGGTGCGGGCTCGGCCTTCTTGGCTGGAGCTTTAGGGTCCTTCTTTGGTGCCATTTCAAACTAAGTACGTCCCTGAAACGCAGACAATTCCCAGTTCGGGTGAAACACACAAGGAGTGGAGCAGAACGGAGGGGTCTCGGAGCAAGAAATCAACGCTTGGGCGTTTATATGTCAGGCTATTTTTCCTCTTGACACTCGTCAACGCCGTTCCCGGATGAGGATTGGATGACGGAGAAGAGGGTGTGTGTATGAGTGTGTGTGAGTGTGATGAGCTTCTCTCTAAACAAGGATTATTCTTTCGCAGGCCAGAAAAAAAAGTTAATTCATTCAATTAATTTCTGATCAAAAATGCTTGGAATTCTTCCGCGGTCACGAGATTCTCTCCGTGGCCAATTTTTCAGTTTTACGCACGGCGCTGCGCTTTTTACGCACCAGACATCTGCGCCACGAGGCCGGTGATGTAAAATGACACGTTAGGATTTAACCTTTCGGATTTTCAACAAACATAAAGAAAAACGATTATTAACGTTTCCACCGAGATTAAAGAAAATAAACGAGTGGAGCACTAAAGGGCGAGAAAGAGGCAAAAAACCATAAACGCATTTCTTACTTTGATTTTTTTTTTACTATATTGCAACCTAATCCGTGCGTTTAATTCTGCCTGAAACATAACAGATTCCAAAGGTTGACAAAGAATAATCTGCATCAATCTGAATCTGAGATTAATTAAAAAACTTGTCTTTTTTGTTTCATTGACAACATAAATATTTATCTGTAATATTTTGACTGATCATAGTTAATATAAAGCAAGAGCAATTAAAAGATGCGCAGAAGAGGAAATCATTGCAAGTTGTAAGCTTCTGAAGAGAAAACCTACAAAAGAGAGAATACATTTTCATTTAAAACGTTTTATTGGCGGATGTTCTTGTCTTTCACGTTCCAAAACAGCTTTGTCCAGTTTGGTGCTCCGTGCATATCCACACCACCTCCAGGGCGGATGTGACGTAAAAGCTCTAGAACAACTTCCAGCTGCTGATGCCAGTAACACAGACGAGGCCAAGAGCGCAAATTCTGTCCCCTTAATTCTTGTCTATATTCGTCTCACCGGCCCCAGGGGTGAAGCTTTCCCCCCTCCAACAAGACAGGGGCTGGTGACGAAGGAAACTCTAAAAAATCCTCCACCCACCCGCCCCTTGGCCTGCACACACACACATCCACCCACCTACTTGCATTAGTTGACCCCATCTCTGAGGGTGAGCCACAGAACGCCCAGTCCCTCAGCTGTCATCTGCCCCTGCATCTTCTCCCTCCCCCCTATAGAAATCCTGCAGCCTCAGTGTTTGCACCTGTGCTGCAGTTCAATCTGAGCTCCGCTACAGAATCCTAATGGATTCAGCAGCCTGGCAGAGCTGAGCTTTATTAAGATGTGATGGCAGGTCAGCTATGGAAGAAGGAGAAAAGGCAGATCAGGTTCATTTGGCAATCACACAAGTTCATTTTTACTAATCTGTTTTGTTTTGTCTTACTGTTGGTAAAAACCTCGTGTATAAAATATAAATACATTTGATTTCTCTTTAAAACCGATTTTCGAACAGTAAATACATTATTTTCTGTCATTTGCCCAGGTAACATAAATAAACAGCTTCTAAATATATTTTGGTATTCTGTTACATAATCCTTCAGTATCACATTAGTGAACTTTACATTCTACTCCTCCTGATTCATCATCAGGGCTCAGCTTCTGCTGGAGATGTGACGTCAGATCTACAAAGCAGCAACAGCCACTCTTGGTAAGAAGTGGCATCAGAAAACTAAAACTGTAAAGTAAAGATTATGGTTGTAAGCTTGAATAACTTACAAAGAAAGTGGGTAGATTGGCCTTTTTTAAATCAGAAAAACCTTCACTTGGCATCACATTTGTGTCATAAATTTAAAAATCTAACTTGTGACTGAAAAATTGTAGTTTTAAATATATCTACCCATTCATTCTGTCTATTCCAGGCTTGGCATGCAGGCTGCTGGTGACCCAATGAAGTGCAGCGTCATGTTTGGCACGTTCAAACAAACTGGTTTCCTCTCTAAGGTTCACAAAATTATTCATCAGATCTTTGGTATTTGAAGTTAAATTTATGCTTTGTTTTGAAATTCCATATTAAAATGTTACTTCCTGTTCTTGCTCCCTTCTGATTGACTTAATTTACCTCACGTGGGTCCTAAAACTCATCCAACTTTTGTGTGTAAATAGTTTTCCCCCAATTTTCTACAAATTTCTTTCTAATCTGTTCTAGATGGTTCTGGGATGATACCATTTAAAAAATGTATCTTTTTAAATCATAATCAAGGACCTCATTTCACCTTAAAGCAAACATTTAGTTTTAAAAACAAAGCAGCTTCTTGCAGATTATGTCCCCATCATGAGAGACTTATTGCTCCGTTAAACTAATGTAGGTTGAGATTAACTGTCAGGCTTTAAAGTTGCCTCTGACTTTGACATCTTTTATTACTGCAGCCTGTTTTGCTGCAGGCAGAGCTATGGACTGGTGCAAATGAGCTGTTTTCTAAAATAAAATGAAAGAAAAAAGGCAGGTGAGCTCTAATAGGTGAGTGGGTATTTAGCCAGTGAAACAATACAGATCCATAAATATCCTAGGGCCATGATTGAATGTACTCAGTAGAGCTGTCAAGAGATGTACTTCATTTCCTGTGTGTGGAATATTTGAAAGAGCCTAAAAGTTTTATAAAAGCAAGTTTCATCACTTTATGTATGATTTTAAAGACTTTCTTCATTCATATTTTTCTTACTTTTGCTGTGGTCTTCAGTAGAAAAGAATGCCTTGTAAGTCATACTTACACACACACACACACACACACACACACACACACACACACACACACACATATATATATATATATATATATATATATATATATGTGTGTGTGTGTGTGTGTGTATGTGTCTATTTAAGCAACATCGCACTCGAGGTCGTGCGTTGGTACTGAATATCAGCACTGGTGTGATTCGGTCGTAGGCACAAGGCCGCAGGCCAAGTGCCGTATAGATAATCACACCAGTGCTGATATTCAGTACCAACGCACGACCTCGAGTGCGATGTTGCTTTTATACAACAGTTCTACCTGCTCATTTTATTGTTATAACAACAATAAGCAACAACAGATTATGGTTTGTTCATTTATTTACATTTATCAGGCTTCGCCAACACAAATAGTCCCAACACAAAACAGAGACTCAGACAAGGCTGTTGCTAGGCAACACAAACGTTTTCTGCTAAGCACTAACTTTACTTCGTATCATTTACGATTATCTGAATGTTTCCGTGTGACTCCTTTGAAAACATTGTTTGCTGGTATTGTCACATTTCAGGGATGTTCAGGACCCAAATATGCAGATACCCAGGATGACACGAGGCAGGATATGATATAAGAAAAAATCCTTTATTGGAGGAGCCAAAAAATAAAATAAATCCAAAAGGCTGGGAGCCAATAAATCCAAAGGCAGTCCAAAAACTAGAGACCAAAATCACAGGAGGCTAGAGAGGGCTGAGAGCAAAAACACTGGAGACTAGACAAGACTGACAGAATACAAACAATGGACCGACAAGACACTGAGGCCTAGTCCACACGTAGCCGGGTTTTTTAAAAAACGAATATCCGCCCCTCCAAAAACTTGCATCCACACCACCTCGTTTTAAAAAAACGTTGTCCACACGTACCTGGATAAATACGTTGTTAAGGACATGCCAGACCTGTAGGCGGCAGTACTTCACCCGTTCTTAACCTTGTCCTTCGTCTGTGGTCTTCCACAAGGAGCAGTAATTCCGCTTGCAAAAACAAACAAGCAAAAAGCGCTTGGACAATTGATGGATCGGGTAGTGACAGAGCGCAGCTCTGAGGGCATCCATGCTGTCGGCTAGTGTAAACACAGGTCGCACACGTGATGTCAGCATTTTTTTGTCGCGGAAAGTGACGTTGCGGACCTTAAAACTCCGGTTTTGTCTGTCCACACGCAGTCACCCAAAACGGAGAAAACGCAGATCTTCACTTTGGCCGGAGTTTTTAAAAAGATCCGTTTTCGTGTGAAAAAACTCAGTTTTCGTGTGGATGACAGGCCAAAACGTAGAAAAATATCTACGTTTTGGCAGATCCCCGGCTACATGTGGACAGGGCCTGAGACAAGACAGGGCTTAAATACACAGGGAGGATGAGAGGGAGATGAGCCGCAGGTGTGTGGGGTGTGGGAGGAGGACCAGGTGAAGGCAATGACTAATCAGGGGATAAACTAACTTGACCTAAGAATAAAACCTAATACAAAAGAGCAGGAAACATAACTACAATTCAAAGGGAGGTGGGAGAAAAATAATAAACAGTGATGGGAAAAAAACATACTAATCATGAAAGGCTGTAACTAAAGGAAATGACTTGAGAAACCTAGAGGACTGGAGATCTAGGGGCAAATGGGGAAAACCAGAAGACACATGAGGAAGATGCAGACATGACACATGAGGGCGCTAGGACACAAAAGGAGCACCTAGAGAGGATGGAGAAACACCAGGAGGCACATGAGGGGAGATGCAGACACAGACCATGACAGGTATAAAGTCTGGGTCCTGCATTAAATCCCATGAGCAGCTCATCGGCGGCTCCAATCCCGCCCGAAGTCCGAAGTAGCTGCTGATGCTGTAGAGCTCCCCTTTAGCTGTCCGGATTGATCCATAAAACTCACTTAACACTGTGTTCAGTCTTCTTAACTTGCTGAAAGTTCACTTGGATATTTTTGAGATTGAGCAAAGTCTGAAAGCAGTTCAGAGCCCAGGCTGTCTGCCTCACAGTGTTGACTTCCTTGTTGCTCTTCTCTAATTCGTCGAGGTCCACTGTTGACATGTCAGCACACCTGGTTTGCGCTGATGTATTCAGTCTGCTTTCCTTCCCTTCAGTGTCAGAGTCTGATGACCATTCATATTGTAGATCGAATGTTATCTGAGGAAATGTGTCCATCTTTGTTGTGAGAAGTTGGTCAAAATCCAAGAATTAATGGAAGTAACGCTAATGATTAACTGAGAACACCTGCGCACAGTGGAGTGATACTGTTTATAAACAGTCCCAGTGCTGTTATAGTCCAATATCAGCACTCTTGGAAAGTTTCTTGACCAATCAAATCACTCG